AAGGGTAGTTTTGGAAAATCAAAAGTGAATCTTTCTCCTTTTCATAAGGAGTTAGATAATGACTTTCGGCGAATTGACAATTCAGCAAGAGCCTTATTCAGAGCCATTTCATATGGCACTATGATAGCAGCTTTCTTAGATGAGGCTGAATGTGAGGATGATCGAGTGGAAGGACGTAAAGCCCTCATCAACTGTTTCAGAAGCATGGCTGATTTGACAGCAAGAGTGATGGCAAATTCAGTCTTGAGTAGAAGAAAAGTTTTTCTTAAAAATGTAGATTTTATAAGCAAGGCAACGGAGAAGAAATTGCTAAAACTACCCATTTTTGGCAACCAGTTGTTTAATGGACAGTACTTTGATTCTCTCCATACTTCTGCAGAGAATCTACGAGATGCTAGAGAAACCCAAAATGTTTACAACGCATCAAAGGGTTATAATAAGAACTACAAGAGTAGAGAGAATAGGAACTCTACCGAGTTGAGCAGAAAGAGGAAAGCAGATGTAAATGAGACCTCTGCTCATTCTGCAAAAGTCCCTAAGTCTAATGAGACTAATGCCTTAAGTTCTGATCACAGCAAGGACAATTTTCGTTCAGGACAAGGGAACAGGAAAAATTCTTTTTCCAGGCGAACCTTTGTGAACCAGAAAGGGTTTCCAACTCCAAGGAAGTAAATCTCGTAAACAGCCAGTCTGTAAATATGTTTCCCCAGGTAGGGGCACGTTTGCTAGAATTCCACAGGAAGTGGACCGTAATCACGCAGGATCAGTGGGTAATAGAAACCCTAAGGGAAGGGTTAAAATTGGAGTTAATGATTCAACCCAATGTAAATATCAAGGAAACATGTGTACCAAGATATGGTATTCACGAATCAGTTATTTTAGCAGAAATAAACATGTTGTCAGGAAAAAATGTTATAGAACCTGTGCCTGCAGGGCAAGAAAACGAAGGGTTTTACAGCACCATTTTTGTGGTGCCAAAGAAACAAGGAGGGCTTCGGACAATTCTAAATCTAAAACCTCTAAATCAGTTAATAGTGCCTCGACATTTCAAAATGGAAACTTTGTGTTCTATAATGAAAGCAATGAAAAAAGGGGACTTTGCAATCTCACTAGATTTGACCGATGCCTATTTCCACATTCCAATTCACACAGATTTCCAGAAATTTCTAAGATTCAGATTTCTAGGCCAGAGTTACCAGTTTCGAGCAATGCCATTTGGACTTCGTTCTGCTCCAAGGGTCTTCACAAAGATAATGGCAGTTCTAGCGGCACACTTGAGAAAAATGATAATCCAAATATTCATGTACCTAGACGATTGGTTGATGATCAATCCAGACAAGAGAACTCTCCTTCAACAGAGAGACTATGTATTACATCTAGTTCAGGAGCTTGGATTATTAGTGAATTGGGAAAAGTCGTCTCTAGTGCCATCCCAACATATAGAGTACCTGGGAGCACATTTCAATCTGGTAGAGGGCATTGCGACACCAACAGAGGCCAGGTTTCAGAGTATTTCAGACATAGTGCAGACTTTATCAATAAGTCAACACACTCAAGCAGTAGTTATCCTCAAATTGTTAGGACTTATGGCTTCATGCATTTATTTGGTTCCGATGGGAAGGTTACACATGCGTCCCATACAGTTATACCTGTTGGCAATGTGGAGACCAAAGATTCACCCTCTTACTCATGTGATAGTGATCCGGCCAATCCTAATTCGGCACCTTCAGTGGTGGATGAATCGGGAAAACTTTTTCAAAGGAATGCCTTTACAGGATCCGCCAATTCAACTGACATTGATAACAGATGCCTCAGAACAGGGTTGGGGAGCACACCTGGAGAACTGGGAGACGTCAGGGGTCTGGCCGCAGCAATATCAACAGAAGCATATAAATTGGCTGGAGCTAAAGGCAGTTCAGTTGGCTCTTCAAGAAGCTCTGTTTTTGATAAAGGGAAAAGTGATCCTTATACGGTCAGACAACACAACAGTGATAAGCTATATCAACAAACAAGGGGGGACACACTCACCAGAACTGTGTTATCTAACTTGGGAGTTGTTCCAGTGGTGCATGGAGAACAAAATTACAATACGAGCTGTTAACATTCCAGGGAAGAAGAATTTTCTTGCAGATGCACTTTCCCGGGGGAAAAAAGTTCGAATGACAGAATGGTCACTCAACAAAACTGTTGTAAATTTATTGTTCCAACAATTAGGAACTCCATGTATAGACTTGTTTGCAACTGCGCAAAACAAGAAGTTGCCAGTCTATTGCTCCCCATTTCCGGACATCAATGCTTTTCAAGTAAATGCCTTAGCAATGAGTTGGGAAGGGATTTATGCTTATGCATTCCCACCACCTATTCTTGTGCCCAAAGTCTTGCAGAAGATACGGGAAGAGCAAAGTGTTGTACTTCTCATTGCTCCAATGTGGCCCAGACAGTTGTGGTATCCTCAGATAATAGATCTTCTGATCGAAGTACCAGTCAAACTACCACTGTGGCCAGATCTTCTCTCTCAAAATCGCAATCAGATTTTCCATCAAAATCTAGAAACTCTCAATCTTGTAGCATGGAAACTGTCAAATTGCAACACAAGTCAAGAGGATTTTCTGAAGAAATTGCAGAAATTATGGCAAATGCCAGAAAGACATCTACACAAACAGTTTATGATGCAAGACTCAGAATATATAACAGTTGGTGTAAAGAACAGGGTGTTAATCCCATTACAACATCTATACCAGAGTTAGCATAATTTTTTATGTATCTCTTCAATGTGAGAAAGTGTAAACCACAGACTATAGCTGGATACAAGTCAGCAATAGCAATAGTTCATCAGAATGGGAGCAGTATTGGTACAAGTACAGAACTGTCTTCATTGTTGAAAGGATTATTTAATAAACACCCATCTGTACGTCAGTTGACACCGAACTGGAATTTACCACTGGTTTTGTTAACTCTCACAAAACATCCATTTGAACCACTAGAGTCAGCAGATCTAAAGTTTTTGACTCTTAAAACTGTTTTTCTGGTAGCCATAGCTTCAGCTTCGAGAGTGAGCGAGATTCATAGCCTCACTTTAGATGATGGTCACTTTAGAATAGAGAGGAAAGGAATAAAAATGTTACCAAATATTGAATTCCTGGCAAAGACTCAAACTATAAATAGACCATGGGACCCTATTTATATTCCTGCATTTGATTCATTCGCCACAGATTCAGAGTATTTAAAATTGTGTCCTTGTCGTGCATTGAAGATTTATATCAATAGAACGAAAACTATTCGGAAGTCAAATAGGTTATTTGTGACATACCAACAGAATAACCACAAGGAAGCATCAAAAGACACTATTGCAAGATGGATAGTTAACATGGTTCGTTTTGCTTATGATAATGCAGAAGCAGCAACATTGAATCTAGTTAGAGCACATGACACTAGACGTTTGTCAACTTCCTGGGCTTTGTTCTGTGGTGTATCTGCAGAGGAGATTTTACGGGCAGCACACTGGGCATCTGAATCTACCTTTACATCATTTTATCTGAAAGATGTTCCAGATCATCAGTCCATTTTTGCCAAGGCAGCAATTTTGGACTCATCAAGGAGAGGGAAGCAAAAATAGGTAATTATGTACCTTTTATGTACTTTTGTCACTTACTTTTCCTCTCCCACCTCCAAACTGGGCTGCAAATTCTTTTGCAAATAGTTAAGGAGGCAGGTAAGTGGAAATATTGAAATGAACTTGGATTTTTGGGGGTAAAATCCGTGTTCATGAGATATTTACACTTACCTGCCTCACCCAGCCCACCTCCCCTCTCGAGGAAGTTGAAAGGTCAGAACCTTTTAAGTTCGTCGAGAGAAACTGAAGAGTTATAGTTAAGGGGGATAACTGGAGGTGATACCGTAGTTACTCTAAAAAAATATATCGACGCATTGTATGGGGAACTAGAGGGAAATTGCAAATAGTTAAGGAGGCAGGTAAGTGTAAATATCTCATGAACACGGATTTTACCCCCAAAAATCCAAATTAAGTGGATAGTTATATTAAGCAAGAGTGCCTCTTCCAAAATTGTGAATTTTATGGCCCCAGGGTCAGGGGTTCTGGTGTTAGGGCGGGGCTCTTTTGATTATATAGTGAAAATGCATTAATTCTTCAAAAATCTTAAATAAACTAACTAAGTACATAGTTATGATGAGCAAGAGTACTACTTTCAAAATTGTGAATGTCATGGCCCCTGTGTCAGAGGTTTTGCCATTTGGTGTGCGGAGGGGGGGCTCTTATGAATATATAGTAAAAATACATTAATTCTTTGAAAATCTGTTCCTTTGCTCTTGGGTATTATGACAATGATCCAAGTACATATATTTATGATGAAGAAAGGTGCATCTAGCAAAATGGTTAATTCCATGCCCCCTGGGTCAGAGGTATCAGAAGGGGGGGGGGGGTACATAGTCTGAAATAAATTAATGCTTTGAAATCTGCTCTTTGGTATTAATCAACCATTTATGATGAAATAAAATTTATGAAAAAATTTTGAAATATGTGGCTCCAGGTTCAGTGGTTCCTTTGGGGTGGGGTGCACAACTGGTTATAAAGTGGAAGTGCATTTTCTCTTTGTTATTCTGATCTACCTCTGGGTATTAAGTAAATAGCATAAGCATGCCAAGTTTACAATTATGATAAGCAATGGTGCCTCTTTCAAAATTGTGAATTTCATAGCCTCTGGTTTAAAACAGGAACCAAATTCAATTGTTGGAAAGTTGTTACATGATTCTCAGTTGACCTATAAGGCCCGTGGGCCTCTTGTTGTGAGTTGATATTGAATTAATTCAAGGTGCATTTAACATACAAAATACAGGTACTTCTTATAGCTTTTTGAAGAGCTGAATAATGAATCTCTGATATGGTTTTCCACACACTTTTTATTTGCAAAGTAAAACTGTACACTTTCAAAGGAAATATGACGACACACTCTCTTGAATGTATTAAATCTTCATACTGTCCATCACTCTAGGTATTTGATAATCTGAATGATTCTTGTACCTTCTTTTCCAATCACAAGATTGTGATCGGTATCAATACTGAGTCCTCCATTACATGGATACTCTATATAACGGACAAAGTTACCATCACAGTCTATGATGTGGACAATGTTGTTTGAGTCATCACTAATCAGTATTTGAGTGTTGACATCAGAAGCAATGTTAAGTGGGATAAAGTCTTTGAATTTAGATTGTTTAGACTTGCACAGGTTGCCTGTATACTTGAATCGTAGTCCCCCAGAAGAATCCACCACAACAACTGCCTTCTTTTCATAGTCAGCAACACAGATGTCACCATTACCATTCTCAGTCAGGAGAAGCACAGTTGAAATATGATTTACACCAGTAGAAAACAAAGGTTGTCCCTGACTGTCGTACTGGATCTTCTGAATCTCTTTGGTACCCGAGTATCTCACCACTCTACTCTGTTTTTTATCTGTAGATATCATTCTCATACTCACCAGTAGATCTCCATTCTCTTTGTAACAAAGACCGACAGGAAACCAGTTGAGTGTGTTAAATAATACATTCATTTCATTCCTAGTATAAATATAAATGTCTGTATTTTGTTTAACAGCATTATGTAAGGAAAACACTGGTTCCAGATGTGAATTGATAGTTAATGCCAGCACATCATTATTTGTATGAATTGTTTGTAGAATAGATCCAGCCCTGTCTATCTCTTTGATTGTTTTGTCATTTCCAGAGATCAAGATCTTATCTCTCCCCACACACTGAATTCTCCACAGCCCTGTCCAACCTCCATAAGGACTTTGTATTGTGTCTAGAACCAAAGGGTCAGCCATCATTTTCAGCATTCCAGAGTTGTTCTGCACTTCATCCCCAGTCTGAAGAACGCCGAACATTTCTGCAATTTGGTTTTCTTTAATAATGCCAGGGAGTAACTTTGGACAAGAAAAACTTGGTAATTCTGGGCCTTTTCGGAAATTCTCATTCCTTGATTGATAATTAAGTATGGCTGTGGCATCATTACCTTTAAGAATATCGTTATTTTTTTTGACAATTTGATTGACTTCTTTTGCAGCTTTTTCAGCTGAAGACTGGCATTCTTTGTTCTTTCTTATAGCTTCTTTCTTTCGAATGCTTACTTCTTCTGTGAGCTGAGTACTTTTTTTATGTACAGCTTGGCAGATTTTATCTTCTTGTTCTTTAATGGCAGAGAGACCTTTGTCAAACTCGGCAGTTGTACATAGGTTGATGTGTCTGTATTTTGGAACAATTGTTTTTTCCAGTTCTTCTGTGTCAGAAATAATTTTTTCTTTATGCTCTTGAAGAATAGCATTAATATCAGTAAACTCATGCTTTTTATGTGAACCCATCAAGCACTGAAGACATATTGGTATTTTACAGTCTTTGCAATACGTCTCACATTGGTATTTCTTGTGTGTAAGACATGATGGAAGAATAACCGTGTGTTCTTTTTTGGAAGTATATTCTACAACTTCATGTCTTCTTGATTTATCTGCCATATGTTTTGGTATGCATGATAGGCAGAGGTCAACGTGACAAAGATTGCAATGATGTTCAACAGGGTTTGAGCACAATTGACAGCGAATTACGTCCTGTCCTTGGGCGGTAGCCATATCTATTGTGATCTAGGATTAGAATAAAATCATATTTACCTGGTTGAAGTACACGGCAATGATGCCATCATTGACATTCATAGAATTTTTAATTGTCATATTGATGCATATGCATAAAATAAACACTCGATAATGTTGTACCATAAGCAAGTCAGTCATACAAATTCACAAATAAAAAAAATTATCTATTAAGAAGTTAAAAGAAATAAGAAGATATTTTCAATGCTGTACATGAAAAAGTTTTTAAAATTTTACATTATTGGTTCAGCATTTAATCATTGACTTAATAACAAAACATACTTACCTTTGACTGTCAATTCTCTATAAAATTCAACATTTTTTTTAACTTTTGTTTTAAGCTGGTGTAATGAATTTTCTAGATCAATATACAGTCTTTTATCCTTCCGCGGTAGTCAGTGGATTTAAATTTTCAAAGCTTAAAACTGGGTCATCATTAAAGCTATATAGATAAGAAAAGTAATTTGAGTTAGTTAGTCATGCATAAATCAGACCTTTAAAAATGGTTTGTTCCCTATATAAAAGTTTGTTTGTTTAACTCCTTTTAGCTCACCTGAGCCAAAAGCTCAAGTGAGTTTTTCAGATCAAAATTTGTCTGTTGTCTGTTGTCATTGTCGTCTTTTTTCTTGTCATAAACTTTTCACATTTTTTTTTCTTCTCAAGAACCACTTGGCCAATTTTAACCAAACTTAACACAGAATGTCCTTTGGTAAAGGGGATTCAAAATTATTCAAATGAAGGGTTACACACTCTTATAAGGGGAGATAATTTAGAAATAAGTAATGAAAAAATGGTGGGTGTATTTAAAAAATCTCCTCAAGAAAAAGTTTAAAAGTTTGCTAGAAAAGATGCAACTTATGTGAAACATTCTTGACATAATGTAGATTCAATTTTGTTGATACAGTGACCCCCCATGGGGGTGATGCCAGTAGAAATATATAGGAAATATCTTTAAAAATCTTCTTCTGAAGAACAGAAAAGCCATTATTGTTGATATTTATATGGAAGCATCCTAGGTAGTGTAGATTCAAGCTTGTTCATACATGTAGCTGGAGAACTGTTGCATTATGGTTTTATATTTTTAAAATTAGACTGAGTCTTTGATTATAAGGTTATTATAGATCCTGTTGTGCACAAAAAAGGTGCAATTAATGGTGCAAGATTTTTTGTGCACAGTTAGGAACTATATCTCCACTTTTTCTTCAGTGGTTAATCAGCATCTTTTAGATTCCTTAAGATTTGATATTTTTTGATGAAATACAAAGTGTATGTTTATTATTTTTTTTGATAATATCATTCCAGGCAGTTAAAAGCCTGCAGACAGCCGAGTCCACGATTGAAACTTTGAACCAGCAGCTTGCTGAGATGGGGGCATCAGACAGTCTCAACAGAGCTAGAGTTGAGCATGAGCGAGTTTTGTCAGGAGTTCAGCAGAGACATGACAAGGAGGTCAAAGTTCTCAAAGAAAAGATTGAGAATCTCACTGATAAACTCAATGATTTGGTAATTATTTTACTTCTGCAAACATAAGGGGGAAAACTCAGAAATTGAAAAATTAGTTTGTTATAAGATATTATTTTAGACTAACTAGAAGTTCCTTTAATACTGTAAATCACTTTTTATTCGCGAGAACTTTATTTTCGCGTAATTACGCGAGACAGTGTGCTCGCGAAAATTTAATTCTGGCATATAATAATGTTCCTTAATAATATATAGAGCAATAACCACAATTCGCGAAAATTTTGTCTCACTAATCAAGAGTCAATGACTATCTCGCGAAAATAAGGTGTCGCGAAAATTTAGTGATCTACAGTATATACATGTATTACAAGTGTGTGAATAAAGACTGGAACATGATTTCTTAATCCTGTGAAATTAAGAAAAATAAAATAAACTAAGTTTTTCTCAACTTTTTAAATAGCAGACTGGCACATAACGTAACTATGCAATCCGTGATCATTTTAGATTAATATGGGTTATTCTCTTACATAAGCTAGACTCAAAAATTGAATTCAAATATTCATTTTTTACAGAATGCAGAGAACTCTACTTTGAGACAGAAACTAAACGAGAGTTATAAAGAAGCAGAGAACTCACAGATCTCACGAGCCGAGACCATCAATCGTCTGACCCGCAGCCTGGAAGATTCCCAGAAACAATGCAGGATGCTCCTAGAGTCAGGTATGCAAAGAAAAGAAAAGTTCAATAAAGATAAGGTATATTATTAAGCATTTATTTTGAGAAGGAACCTTGTTTTGTTAATTAAATATTGCTTTGAGTATCTGATAAACACTCTGATTCTTCCATTGAATTTATTTAATGGTCATGAAGATAATAGGCAATGTGAATTATAGTGCATTTTTTGAGGAAAAAAAGAATGTTGATAATTTCTCCCTTGTAGCCTCTTCACATGAAGCAAGTCAATTGAAGATCCAGCTGCAGCAGTGTACAGCATCTAAAAAAATCGCTGATGAAATGATTCTCTCTTACCAGGTAACTATCAACATGACAACGTCTCCTATTCCCTCCCTTTACATTTTTATGGCGTCGGGCTTGCCCGATCGTCATCTAGCGATCAGTCAGGTTTACGCGACCGCACGTGTCAGTGGATGCATCCACAATAGAAAATAGCAACAGCTGTAAACCAATTTCTTTTAAAACGTTCACAATGAATAATACATGTGTAGCTTGAATATAAGATTAAATCAATTGTATCTTCAATTAATACTACTACAAAACAACGATATTATGTTTAATTTTTACACAAGAAAAACGTTATGGTTGTTGCGGATGAATTTCTACTGAGAGGGTGCGTCGAATGACATGAATCACATTTTGGGACAGATTACTGTAATACAAACAATCTTAAATACGGTAAAACAAACACGAATACAACAAGACTATAAAGATTGAATTTCTTAATCTTAGCTTTACTTTTACGATCTCCAATCCAATTTTAGCCGAACAACCTACGATATTGACCAATAATGCCAGTATTACTGTATTTATCCATTTCCTCCATTTGTTTACCGCGCCTTATCTTAAGTCGATTGTACTTGTAACATTAGAGTCATGGTTGTAGTTAAGATGCAATCACTATACAACAGAACAACACTCTGACAATGGCAATTAATTAAAAAAATTTATGAAACCCTTCATATGTCTTCGATTGACTGAAAAGAAATTAGATTGATATAGAGGATGGACATTTCTGACGATGTCTGGTCAATTCGAACCCTGACTCATTCGGACCAGGACACAAGGCTATCAGGCCATATACTGTATTTGTGTTAAGACTATTTTTTTTAATTTTATTATTATGTTACTGGAGTCACTCACTTGACCTATTTGCAGATCTTTTGAAATTGTTTTTCTTGTTCGACGCCATTGAAGCCTTTCAGGCTTTTGATTTTTTTAACATTAACAGCCAGTTTGATTTTTGTATTTTTTTATCAATGGATTTATGATCTAATGAAACCAGGGCCCCAAGACCATGAACTGAGAATAGACTTAAGTCGAAATTTCAATTTTTATTATCTTTTGTTTTACTACATTCGTCTTTCAAAAATTGCATCTTTGTATAATATTATTTATTAAGATTCAAATACTTGATATTTTATTTCAATATGAAAATAATTTGAATTCAGAAATTATATTCATCCAATATTTTGATATAATTACCCGGTTAGTCTTTCCTCAATTTATGGTCTTCGAGCTTTATTTTTAAAAATCTTGTTTAATGAATGAAAGTATTGTTTATTCAAAATATTATACATATATCATATGGCTTTGAGGATGACATACCAGAATATTTGCCCCGAGGTGACAGGAAAGCCCTGGAGTGTTATGTCACCTGATGCCGAAGACATAACACTCCAGGGCTTTCCTGTCACCGAGGGGCAAATATTCTGGTATAGTCGCCCGAGAAGCCATGTGGTATATGTTATATGACATTTTTAAAATCAAAAGAAAATTTAAAATCATTCAAAATCCATAAGATTAACACAAATAATCCAAAAATGTCTTCTTGACATTAAGAAATACGCTCTGTTGTTTACTTTTGCTTAGCAACCGACGTCATAAAATCTCGAGCCCGAACTAAAATGCGTAACATAAAAACACGTGAACGTGATCGAAAAGATGACATAACTGTTTCCGTCGGGGGTGACATAACTGTTTCCGGCGTGACATAACTGTTTCCGGTGTGACTCAGCATTTTTCAGGGTTTATAGCGAAACTTATTACATTTGTGATATAATAAGTAAACTTATTCAAAAATGTTATATAATAAAATGATTTCAGAAAGTGTTCAAATAACTAATGAATGTTTCATTACAGGAGGAGGTTAAAGACTTGAAGGAGCAGCTGAACATGTTTGAGGCGGCGTCTTGTCTGGGCGTGCTCAGTCAGGAGACGACAAGGGAGACAATTCATGACGACTCCATGATGGACCTCGGAATCAAAAAGACAATAGACTTTGATGAAACTCCAGAGCCTATTAAGTAAGGAAGAAAAATTTATTTGATTTTTTATATGTACTGTGGAATCATTTTAAATCACGGATGTCAATGATTTTTGGTATTTTGTTTGGTTCGTGGAGACTTGATATACACAAGATTTTTGGGCTAAAAGGTGTCAAAATTATTGTTTGATGTAAATTAAAGATGACCCTTTAGGCCAAAAAAAATTAATCAATTTAGTTTCTCAGGCACCGCCGCATCAGTTCAAAAACAGCCGCATTGATCCTTTTTATTGACATTGAAAAGGGAAATAACTCATTTTTCTGTTTTTCCAAATTGAAAAAGAAAATCGAGTTATTTCCCCTTTTCATTAATGCTAAGAAATACGTATTTTTTTTAGAAAAACAATATATTTCTTTTAAATTCACAGTACGTTTTATGAGTTAACTTTTAAATAAATGTTTGGAATAACATTATTTAAAGTTGAATACATATTATAACTAATTTCAGAGAACGAAACTTAAGAATTAGTAGATATTATAATTTTACTGAACAGATGACTTAAAAGGTGTAAAACCTGCTTCCAAAAAAAAAAAAAAAAAAAAAAAAAACCTGCCTGCCGCATTGAAAAAAGAAGGTACGTTAGGCACCAAAATCCGCCTAGTCCCAAAATCTGGTGAAAATATTTAAATAGTTTGTATTGGATACCCCTGTTCTAAATCAATTTATTTTTTGAAAATATCTCAAACCGTTTTCCCTACACAACTCACTAAAAATGCAATGTTTTCTTAAGAAAATAACACTGACGACGTCATGACGTTCACATGGCGTTATCAAATTTCAACGTAATGATTCCGGTACAGCGTAAAGAATTGTACATTTCTCAACCTAAAAATTTATATTCTCTTAAATAAATTCATATTTAAGTCTATTTCACTTTATTTTTTTATTTAATCTGTTCTGAACCTTTGAGGGTTTTTTCTTTATATGAATTGATATTTACAATAACCGTGGGTCATTTAAGGAGATAATTTTCCGAGAAAACTATTTCACCACGAAAGCGTATTTATTGTCAGAATTTTTCCCCTCTTCATTTCCCTAAAATTCATGATATTAATTAAAATACCAAATTAAATTTTTCTTTTTACAATATAAAACATTGAATTAATACATGATGTTTTTTTTTTAAATAGAGATAGGATGTTTTTTTTTTTTAGAGAAGAGGAATAGAGGAGAGCAAAAGAAAGAGAGGAGAGAGAGAGAGATAGTAGTGAAAGAGAGAGTTTAATAGAAAAGTTGGTTCCATCTGATCCACTGGGCATCAAATTTTTCTTTTCCACTATTTCTATAAGATATAAATTTGTGTATTTCATAATAAAACTTCATTTGTGATATTGCAGCACATAAATTCAAAGATTTCTTAGTACATCTTGATGTGTAAACATAATATTTCAGCCAAAGGGCAATAGTATTTTGAATATCAGTATTATTCTCAATGTAACCTAAAATAAAAGATTTTTTTGTAATATTAATGACTAGACCAGTCTTATCTTCAAGAAAAATTACAAATTCTTCTAGAAATGATTGTGTATAATCACATTCCCATAAAAGGTGTTCTATTGTTTCTTCTTCTGAGAGGCAAAAGTTGCAGTATTTAGAGTCATTTTTGTTAATTTTGAATAAAAATGAATTTGTTGCTAGAATTCTGTTTATAATTCTATATTGAAACCATTGGAGTTTACAGTCTTTTGTCACTCTGAAGGGTATTTTGTGGAATTTTTTCCATTCTTTATTGTCAATCTGTAACATCTCACTCCACTTTGTTTTACCTGTTGACATAGAGGAGTTATGGTTAAGAATTTCATAAAAACATTTGGATTTGTGACATTTCATCACCTTGTAGATAATTCTCATAATTAATGGGTTTTCTAGCTTTTTAATAGGTATGTCAAGGCCAGAATTTTTTATCCAAGATTTTATAGCATGAATAATACTACTATATTCTAAAAAATTCATCTTAATCATGGGATAGGTATTACAAAAAGATTCAAAACTTAGAAAAGAACCATCTTCATTGATAATATCATTAACTCTTCTAATGTTGTTGTTAAACATTTGTTTATTATAAAAGGGTTTCCCCCCAATACGAATCATTGGGTTGTAAAACAGAGGTGAGTCACCAGCAACCTCAGATACTATCTCATGATTTTGTAGTATTATCCAGGATTTGAAAACGTCTATCCAAAATTTATTTTTCAAAGTCTTCAGATAGATTGTGACATAGTCAATTCCACAATTTATAAATTTGTCTAAGTTGAAATTTGGAATGAGATGTTCCATACCCCTATTTGTAAAAATGAGCTGTCTTATCCAAAATAATTTCATAGATGATATAAAAGACTTTAGGTTTAACATTTTCAATCCCCCATCTTCATAATTTTTAATAATAACTTCTTTTTTAACCCTATGAATTGAATTATTCCATAGAAATGAGAAGAATATTTTGTCTAATTCTTTGCAGTATGATTCAGTGGGATTTGGTATTGACATTAAAATGTGATTTAATAGAGGTAAAACTAATGTCTTAATGACTGTTATTTTCCCAATTGGAGTTAGGTACCTTTTCTCCCATTGTCTAAGTATTGATTTAATCTGTACTAGCTTGGGATCATAATTTAAATATAGTAACTTATCCAATTCCACATCAAAATGTATTCCTAGAAGGGTAAATCTAGTAGTTCCCCAGTTAAGATTGTAATTTGGCAGTAATATTTCATTGCTATACTTTTTGGAGCCTATCCATACTATATGAGTTTTGGCATAATTAATATGTAAGCCAGACATTTCTGAAAAACTCTTTAATGTTTTTAATGTTTCCGCAAGGGATTCTTTACTACCATCAAGAATAAGAGAAGTGTCATCAGCTAATTGAGAAATCTTTTTTTCAGTATTGTTCACAGTTATTCCTTTAATATTTTTGTTTAATCTAATTTGAATTGCTAGTATTTCTGCACATATAATGAATATATAAGGGGATAATGGGTCCCCTTGTCTGCAACCCCGCTGGATGTTAATTCTTTCAGAAAGATTACCACCTTGATTTATTGCAGATGTAATGTCCGTATTAAAAAGTGACACCCAATTCCTAATTGAGGGACCAAAGTTAAAAAATTTAAGTGCTCCTTGAATAAAATTCCAGGACAAAGTATCAAAGGCTTTTTCAAAATCAATAAGTAATAATAACCCAGGTATATTTTCTTCTTCCGTATAATGCATTATATCATATATTAACCTTGTATTTTCACCTATATATCTATTAGAGATGAAACCTGTTTGATCTTTGTTAATAATTTTGTCAAGGTATCTTTTTACTCTATTTGCTATAGTACCCGATGCAATTTTATAGATAGTATTTAACAAAGTGATTGGTCTCCAATTCTTTAAGTATTGTCTTGGCTTATCACCTTTTGGTAAAAGTGTAATAATGCCATGTCTTTGTGTAATAGAGAGACTTCCACTTCTATAACTGTAATTTATAGATCTAACTACAAAGGGACCAATATATTTCCAAAACATCTTAAAAAATTCAGCAGAAAAACCATCAGAACCTGGAGATTTATTAGATTTCATTTTGTAGAGTGTTTCTGAGGCTTCTTCCAAAGTAATTTCACCTTCTATAGATTCTGTTTCCTTACTAGAAAGCTTTGGTATTTCTTCATTATTTAATTCATTGAATAGATCAGTATTTGGGTTTACTGTACTAGTTCTATATAGTTGTTCATAAAATAATTTTGCTTCTTTTAAAATTTCTGATTGATCATAAATAATATTACCACTATTATCCTCCAATCTAGGTATAATCTTACTAGTAAAATTTCTGGATTCTAATGCACAAAAATAGTGTGTTGGTTTTTCGCCTTCTTCGACCCATTTTGCTCTACTCCTGATATAATTACCTTGCAATTTATGCTTTCTAATGTTCTCCAATTCTTGCTTTTTACTATATAATTCATCAATATTACTTTCGACATTTTCTTCTAATAGTTTGATACTTTCTATTAAAACTTTCTCTTTGTTTTCTCTTTTCTTTTTGATATATGATGCATATGAAATAGTTTTACCTCTTATCTCTAAAAGCAGAGTTTCTAAAAATAGCTGATCATTAACAGTGAAATAAAAATTGGAATCTGGAATATTATCTATGTTGTCAAAGTTATATACTGGGATTGCATACTGTTTCTTAACCTCTAAAATTACATTTTTAATGCAATCTAAGTAATTTTCATCATGAAGTAGAGAGTTATTAAACTTCCATAACCCCCTACCTTTCTTAAATTCATTAAAAGCTATAGACAAGGATATTATGGAATGGTCTGATCTATAACTAGTATCTATAGAGCATTTTTCCAATCCTGACAAAAGGGTTTCAGATATTAAAAAAAAATCTAAACGGCTTTGCTTCAATGGAGTTTTTCTTCTCCAAGAATATCGACGCTCTTTTTCGTGAAGCTGTCTGAAAGGGTCAATATAACAATTATTTTCTATTATTTCCAAAACTTTATCTCTTGCCTTTGGATTATTGACAGATTTATAATTATAATAGTCCAAATCTGGATTCAAAACTAAATTGAAATCTCCACACAAAATAATATTTCTACATTGCATATCATCAATATATTTTTGTAAATTTTCAAAGAAAAGTGGTGTATCATTATTTGGACCATAAATGTTACATATCAATACCTCATGGCCCTCTACAGATGCTTTAAGTAAAATAAAGTTTCCTTCAAGGTCGCCCTTTTCTGTTAGAGGTTTAAAATCAAAGTTGTTGTTAACTAGAATTGCCACTCCCCTAGAGTTTGTAGAGTATGAGCTGAAAAAGCATTGGTAACCCCATAAATTTCTTACTTCGTTTTCAATATCACACGAAAAATGTGTATCTTGCAAACAGTAAATGTTATAATTTAAGGCTCTTAAGTAATTAAAAACATCCTTGCGCTTTGCAATATCACCTAAACCTTGACAGTTTACTGAAATAATCT